TGACCAGATTGTATGGTAAAAAAATAAATAAATAAATAAACACTTAAAACAATAGCTCAGATCTTTTTGAAATGAGGTTTTGCAATAAAGGTTATGAACAAATAATATTTAGACTGTTGTATATTTTTCTTTGAGCAATCTGTTTTATTTATTTATTTATTTATTTATTTTTTTACATAGAATCTGGTCATTCATTCTATTTATCTCTTCAGGTGAGTGGGTGAGTGTGAAGGGCACGTTCAAGTGTGTGTCTCTCACCTGTATGTCCAGCTCATGTGCCAGAAGTCCTCTGGGCCTCTCACCTTCTGCCCACCTGGCAGATGGAACAGGAGACCTCATCCTGGTCTGGGACACTCACCCTCTGAGGTTCCTCAAGTTCCTTCACAGACACACAAGCACTCAGGACCAGGTGTGGGGTTTAAACATGAAAACATAACTTAACTGTAAAAAAAAAAAAAACACCTTATTGGACCTAACTGTTGTTTTCCACTTGTTTCTAGTTTGACTTTCCCTTTGTGGAAGTCCACCGTGTGAAGGCGGTGCGTTTCTGTCTGTCAGGAGCCACTGAGGAAGGACGTGAAGAATTCGAAATCCTTAGTGCTGGGGTGGATGGCGAAGGATGCCTGGATGCTGGAGGCAGAAACAGCTCTCAGCTTCAGTTGGAGCAGATGAGAACTAAAGAGAAAACAGTGAGCCCCTTCATGTGCTGCCTGTGCTGCAGAAAACCTCCTGATGTGTCAGTCTGGAACTGCGACGGAGAGATTCTGCCTTTCACCAACATCTCCTGCAAGTAAGATAACACAACCCAACAAGATGTGACTCATCTCACATTATATTTTCCTTTTTAATGTAAATGAGGCTAACCATATTTTCAGCTGTACACACTTTTAAAACCATCGTACAGCGTGGGGCAGTGTTTTATATTTGTCATCTTTGTTTCCGTCCCGTGTTTACCAGGATTCATGGCCAGTTGGTGCGTCTGTACGCCCGAGGTATCGAGGACGTAGCTGCCATCAGCAGCTGCAGCTAGGAGGATGAATGCAGTAGAACATGAACTCTAACTGAATTTTGGATGTTGAGGAAACAAAAATCAAGTATGGAACACGAGCGATGTAAATGTAAGAAAACTACTGGCTGCAGTCTCTCACTGAAAAGAGTTTATAATGTTCAGGTACTTTTATGCACTCTCACTGTATTGTACTTTTTGGATTATAAGGCGCATTATAAGCGAAACAAAGCAGTCAAACTTTTTTCAACTCATTCGTAATAACCACATAAAATCGGTCTGAGGTCAGAAAGCACAATCAGAATTAAAACGTAAAGCGCACCGGTTTGTAAGGCTCACTGTCGATTTTTGAGAAAAATTAAAGGATTTTAAGTGCGCCTTATAGTCTGAAAAATATGGTAATAATGGGGAAAAAGTATTTTTTTTAACAGTAAATGTGTTAATGTTTGTGTGTATTTGTCACTTCTATACTGATTTTGCACAGAACCTATTTAACCTGTTACTGTACACAGTGTGTGCTGGTTCTAGGTCTGTGAACGATTTTAGTTTTGTCTATTTTCAGGGAATAAAGATGACAATTGACAAAGAAAAAAAACATTAAATTATCTCTTGTTTTATTGGTGTTTTTATTCAGTTTTTCTTAAAAACTCAAAAACATCAACAACTTCTCTTTTCTTGCACATCAAGAGTCAGACAGTGAGAACATTTAGTTCTGATTCAAATAAAACTAAGTTATTGTAAAATGATGACGAGTGGACACGGAGCTCTTCAGTACTTCATCACTGTTCTCTGTAGATTTATATAACCTTCATAATGACATAATAAAAAGAGAAAAAAGAACAAGAGACCCCAGATATTTAAACACATGTTCACTCTTTCTGTCCTTTCCACACCCTTCTGCATCTCCGTTTATGCTGTTATTGCTCAGTGCGCACATATTTAGGTGTCTGAGTGTGACATGCTGCACATCAGGCAAAGATAAGATGAGACAAAAAAAGAAATCATCAATCTGATGCAGGCATTCAATAAAATCCACAATTTTTAAGGAACTTTGTTGCTAGGAATACTGTAAACTCTTTTTTTTTTTTTGGAAAGTTAGAAATAAACAGTTTTTTTTACAGTTTTGCTTCATCTGTGAAGTTGTTTTTACCTGGAGAATGACATTTTTTAATGCATCTTTTTGTTTATGCTTGTTGTTAGGAGAGGCACCCTTAACCAGTTCAACAAGGCCTGCTATTATAAAAAACGGTTCTATGTGAAACAAGTTTCGCACAATTACAGTTTAGTGACGACAGTAAACCCACGCCTGCAGTTAGCACAATTACCTTGTTAACATTCAAGGAATCTTATAATGAAAAACATGGTAGGCCTACAATGTATTATTTGTCCTGATGCATGCTCAATAATCCAGGAAGATAAATCTAACAAGGTTAAGTCAGGTCCTCTGGATGGGTTCTTCTTTGTTGAAACGTTTCACCTTTTATCCCAAAAACTTCTTCAGTCTGAGGAGTGTTGCACCTCCTGGATCAACCGGTTTGCTACTGACAGCACAATCTAGTTTGTCACATGCAAGAGGAGGACCAGCAGCTTAATGACCAATTGTTAGTGCCCTGATGGCTGCTTGCTATTCACAGGGTGTGAACAGAGTAATACCGGTACTAGCAATAACAGCATTGTAAGAGGGGGACAGTGGAACAGAGGCCTCCGCCCTGTTTAACGATGGACGGGTTCTCTTACAAAGATGGTCTCCTTCACTCCTCTCTCAAACCATCGTTCCTCTCTGTCCAGGATGTGAACATCTTCATCCCTGAAAGAGTGACCGCTGGCCTGGAGATGAGTGTAGACCGCAGAGTCCTGGCCTGATGATGTTGATCTTCTGTGCTGGGCCATCCTTTTGGCCAGTGGCTGTTTAGTTTCCCCGATGTAAGACTGATCACAGTCCTGACACTGAACAACATACACAATATTACTCTGTTTGTGCCGAGGAACTGGATCTTTGGGATGAACCAGTCTTTGCCGTAATGTATTTTGGGTTTTAAAAGCCACTGGGACGTTGTGTTTAGAAAATAAACGGCTCAGTTTCAGTCCTGATGACTCCTAACTTGTGCTCCAGAGGGTGATGGGAGTCACCAGGGAAGCATGAGGTTGTCAATCTTTCAACAAAGAAGAATCTGTCCAGAGGACCTGACATAACCTTATTAGACAATCCAACAACGTTCAGTCAGGTCATCTGGACGCTTTCTTCTTTTTTTTTTTGCTGCGACATTTCATCCTTCATCCAAAGGACTTATTCAGTCCGAGGAGTCACAAACAAACTGGAGTCCCACAAATACCACAGTCCCATAATGGAAAAAAAAACAAAAAACAGTTTGCTGGTGATCCAGTTTGTTAGTGACTCCTTGGACTGAAGAAGTCCTTTGGATGAAGGACAAAACGTCGCAGCAAAAAAAAAACAAAGAAATCGTCTAGATGACTTGACTGAACATTGTACCTGGATTATTGAGCATCTACTTTGGTCTTATTAGACAATGCAACATTGTTTTGTTCTGCTGGTCTTATTTTGCCTAATAATGACTTTGGATGAAACATAATTTGTCTGTAAATCTCAGATGTACTCGCCAAATCAGGCTACTAAACTTTTAGTTTAGGTGTGAAACGCAGGGCTCTGTTGTGTATGACAAAACCAGACTGGTTCAGCAGCGACTGCAGCAAACTTTATTGACTCTAAAGTTTCATACAAACGTTTTCATAAGTATGTGAATTTATTTGTACAATGAATGAAGCATCAGGTTGTGATGGGCTGCACCCACTTGTATGTTCCCTCATATTGGAATCCCACTTTCTTCATAAGATCATCTGCTTCACTAGGTCCACGACTGTGGACACAAGAAAATGAGAAGAAAAATAAAAAATATACTTGTGAGCAATAATTAGCTTAAAAAAAAATATCTCAGTGTTTTGAAAGACTTTACCTTCCATGTGTGTAAGGAATAGGGGGTTTCTTTTCTCCCTCTAGTTGGTGAAGAAGAGGGGTGAAGATTCTCCAAGCTTCTCGCAACTCATCACTGGAACACAAAAATGCTAGATGAGAATACATTTACAGATAAATAAATAAATGAATGGATGAAAAATCATGAACTGTTTTCTCTGCTAAAGCCTTCACTCACAGACTGTAAAAAACTCAAGAGTCTGAAAAGTTGGGTGTTCATCTTTCTTAAAATGCATTTTCGCTGCTTCGAACAGTGAATGAGGGTACCAACCTGCGGACAAAGTGCAGTTGATTTCCACAGAAGACATCCAGGATCAGTCTTTCATAAGCATCTGGAAGCTTCACACTCTATAGATAAATGTTACCAATTAAAAACTAAACTGATCATTCACTTATTTCAGTGTTAAGGACCAACAGGAGAAAAGTCAGTTATCCAATATAATTTTTTATGATAATCCAGATATAGTTTAGTACATATATGATTATATATTATAACAACAATAATAAAAATGCCACACTTTGCTATATCGGTTAAAGCAGAGCATGGTTTAGTATTATTATGCAATTGCTCAAAAACTTTTTGAAATAAGTTTACATTTACATAGTGACAATAAACAAAAAAAAATAATTAATGGTTAGACCAGGATGATGGCTGCCAAAGAATTTAGAGCACCTTGTATCTGCTCTTGTAGGTGAGGTCCAGCTCAGTCTCCTCGGGGCAGAAGTGGACCCCTGGCTTCTTGGTCATCATCTTCAGGTAAATGGCTTCATCTGGCTGCACCCGCACCACCAACTCATTCCTTTGACAGCCTTCACCAAAGATGTCTCCCGGCACGTCCGTGAACTGCAGACGCACTTCTGCTTTCTGCTCGTTCAGAGCTTTACCGCAGCGCAGAATGAAAGGAACTCCTAAAGGACGATAATTCAGTGATAGTTAAGATGGCTGAGGGAGAAAACTGTAGGACCCGAGATAAAAATAAAAGAGAAGAAGTAAGGCATGAAAAGATAGTTGTAAGAGCCTCACCATCCCATCTTTCATTCTGAACATAAAGCACTGCTGTGGCAAAAGTTGGAGTGGAGGAGTCTTTTGGTACTGTAGGGTCATCGAGGTAACCCTGCTTTGCGTGGCCCTCCCCATCAGGATCTCCAGCATACTGACCAAGCACCACATCTGACGTAACAATGGGTGCTATACACTTTAATACTTTCACCTATAGCATCACAACAAAAACCCTTCAATAAGATTGTAATGAAATGATAATATTGTCACTGAAAACGTCTTCACTTCTAGTCTCTGATGCTACCTTCTCATCTCTCACATCGTCTGGACTGGTGGAGGCAGGTTTTTCCATTGCAACCAAACAGAGCATCTGGAGCAGATGATTCTGCATGACATCTCTGTGTTACAAAGGACAGAAGTTGAATCTGAGCACGTTTACCAAGTAACAACTAAATCAATTCCTGGTACTTTCCTCACCTAATTATACCAAAGTCATTGAAGTATCCTCCACGACCCTGAGTACCAAAGGGTTCTTTAAAGGTGATGACCACACAAGCCACACTGTTTCTGTTCCAGATTGGTCCAAAAATCCGATTTCCAAACCTACGAGTAAGAAATAAACATTGTTAAGATGTAATATAACAATATACCTGCATCAACCTTTTGGATTACACATACTATAGCCTATAGCTACATACTTTGTTAAGAAATCAGGTCTCTTGTAAATGAGTCCCCTAGGCTCAATGGGATTAACCTGTCTAAATAAAGGTTGAATGAAAAATACCATATTTTCCGGGCTTTAAGTCACGCTTTTTTCATAGTTTGGCCAGTCATGTGACATATAGTCCGAAGCGACTTATATACGTTTTTTTCCCCCATTCATGACGTAATTTTTACTGACGTGTTAAATGTTCATTCATACTGACACCAACCAAAGAGTAAACATTACTGTTTGCAGTCACGAGAGGGCCCTCTAGGCTTTGATAGCTATATGTTGTTCCTCTTCTGCAGAAGCGACACAGAAGATGGTAACTTGCTTGTCTGACTTGTTGGCTTATGTTAATTAGGCCTGTTCAGGATCCCATATGTTCTGTGTGGTATTGTTATTTCAGATTAAATGTCTGTTCTTGCACTTTGTGAAATACACGTCTAAATGAATGCGACTTATACTCCAAAGCAACTTATAGTCCAGAAAATATGGTACTCGCTGATTCAGTATTCAGAGATATGTGTAGCTTTACCTGAGAACCATGAGGTTCTGGACCATCTCTTTTCCCAGGTAGTGATCTATCCGGTAGATTTGGTTCTCTGTGAACATGGAGGACAGGTGTCCTGACAGCTCCTGTGAGCTCTGAAGGTCCCGACCAAACGGCTTCTCAACAATTAGCCTGTTCCAACCTCTGCCATGAATAAAGCTGATTAGAAAAAATGTGACCAAACAGCTCAAATATCACTCATTTGTGAAAAGGTACCAACTTGAGGCTCATGCAGTGGTTTCTGATGTTTGTGTTGACATGGTGGTAAACAGTGGGCGGCAGTGCCAGGTAGAAGAGCCGGTTGGCGCTTGTTCCTCCTGGCAGAGATGACAGATGGCTGTTGAGTCGGTCAAAGGAGCTGCCATCATCATACTGCCCACGCAGATACAAGTTCTTACTGAAGAAAGCTGATAGACTCTTCCTGTCCTCATCTGTGACCTAAGGGAACATTAGAGTTATTCTAAAACCTCTTGAGGAATTTGAGCTTTGTGTAACCACCAAAGAGCCTTACATGTATTACCTTCATGTAAGGCAGACATGCTGTTCTAATGTCCTCTACAGTCAGGTTGGATCGAGCAAAACCCACAATGTGTATATCATCTGGGAGCAGGGCATCTCTGAATAACCACCTAAACAATGGACAGTCAGTGAAAAGCAGTAAAGTGGAACATTTTGGTCAAGGGTCAAACACCTGACCTCACTAAGTGACCAAACAACTTTCTTACAACTCTGTGGTCATTTAATGTGTCAGCTATAATTTTCTTTTACTCACCATAAAGTTGGATAGATCTTCTTTTTAGCAAGATCTCCCTGTGCAAATAAAACCAGATCCAATCAGCAGGCTAAGAAGCTATTCAGTTTGACACAGGATCAGTCTAAAGTCCAAAGAACAGATGAACTCTGGATAAGGGGTTAAAGTGTAAGGAAGTTAATGGCTTGTTTGAGTATTGAAAAAAGTTTGTGGAATACACTAAACTCACAGAACTTTACACTTTTTATGCTCTGACCACCAGTGGGAATACATGTTAACCTTTGGAACCTCAATACTTCTCTACAACTAGATTTGATGCAGGAAGGTCAACAAAACCAAAATGGTTATATAAGATATGCCATTTGTGCCTGATTAAACATCATTATTACATGTTGTAAGACATGTACTTACAGACGCCCCCAGGATGATGAATATGTGTGTATTGGAGTAGCTGGATGGATCTTCTCCATGAAGCTCCCTCCTGAGTTGTCCAAAAATCTCTGAACGGGTCAAAGACTCAGTGCTCATGTTATGGATAGTCTGTACTGGCTCTGCCCGTGACAGTGACCGCTCAGTTCCACACCAGCTACAGGACACACATTACCTTGAAGTTTCAGCTATGTTGCTTTGCTGAAAAAACTAGTGACACTGTGCTGCCATCTATTGTTGATACATATACATACAATTTATATGAACATCACAGTACAGTACAGTAGAGTAATTATATATATAAATATAAGTATATACAGTATATATGTATATATATATATATACATATATATATATACATACATACAGTATATATGTATACATACACATATATATACATATACATACATGTGTATATATATATATATATATATATGTGTGTGTGTATCTATATATATATATATACACACACACACATATATATATACACACACACACACATATATGTACACATATATACACACACACACACACACACACA